ACCTTTTTGCCTTGAGCTCCACAGGTAAATATGATCCTACTTACATTTATGTGAGTAGTCTGTGCAGCTTTGGTAATTGCGCTTCGTATTCCACCGGCCGATCGGTCTGTGTCCTCAATGCATAACATTGGAAATAAGCTGTCCTCTATGCTCACGCATGCACTTGCGAGATTATGACATGCTGTCCCTGCATCCTCACCTCAGAACCTTTCTTCGAAGTATCATTACTGATCAGTAAAGCACTCAGGACGATGATCAAACGTATACACAGACACGTTTGTTTTAACAACACTCTCTGGCACCCAGGAGTTATGCGCAGTCGCATACACGATCGCTTTTTAAATAGCAATATGAAGTGAACGTTTGTCAGAGCACTTCCACATAATGAAATTGCTTGTCAGTCACAGTGACGTTGAATGTGAGACATCCGATTATCTTCACCTAGCACAGCGCAAATAGTCCAGGTTTCAGCAAAGTTCTCATTTAATGTGATGCTCGGAAACCATCAAGATTCTCCTTTTTGTTGTTTTTGCGTTTTGAAATCAGGGTGCAAGTTATTATCTGGGTAAAAAGGCCATAAAGGAAATCTGTAGGCATCTATAAATGACTTTAACAGCAGGAAAGTGTTTTGCACCTGTTTTGCGATGTAAGTGGCTGACCTAATGTCATTCGGCATCCACTTTCGTGAAATTCTGGGGTTGAAAATGCATTAAGCTTTCGGACACGGTGCAGTGAGTACCTTATGCTCTACATCTACTGGCATCCGATATACCCCAATAGAGCCTGGCTGTGCACAGCGGCATTACTCTGTGGTCCAATTAGAACTGCCTCGACTTGAATACCATTTCGCGACTGCTGTCTCTGACTCTGCCTTTGACACCGTAAGTATAGAAATACTTTCTGTATTTGTTGTTAAATTTCGTCAGAAGGCCGAGATAAGCATCATTTGCTCTTGAAGGAGACACGATCGCCGGAACAAGAGCTTTATTAGCCTGACGTTTCGGATTCCTACTCGAATCCATCATCAGAGACAAAGCAAAAACGGTTGGTTGCTGCACAAGTGGCTGCGGTATTTATAGGATGCAGTAGCCATGCTACCGCATACCTATGAACATTCACGGCTCCCCACTTCATCCGAGATCGTCGCACGTGGTGTGATCACTGCTTGATGGCCGACATTCGAGTCGATAATTGCTGCAATTTCATCACGTGCGTTGGATGTTTGCGTGATGATTGCTCGACCATCTGACGCGCCGACCCCGGTGTTGGGAAAAGTGTTCCTCTGCGCAACCACCACACAGACCGGAGGCAACCATCAGGCGTCTGGTCATGAAACCGAAAGACCCACTGCCACGGCTAGAAACGTCTTGAGTCGTTTATCGGATCTGGTGCAGTTGCGGACAAAGCAACCACGTCGGAGAAACCGGAAGACAGCTCCGAACGAGAATGGCCGAACACGCGGCAGCGGTGCGCAGAAATGACGCCAGCTCTCAAGTTGCGGCTTATTCGACGAGATCCGGCCACACATTCAAATTCGATGAGGCAGAAATTCTCGCAAGAGGTGATAACCACGTGAGCCGGGAGCTACTGGAATCATGGTTTACTGGCCCCCAGTCCATCAACAAGTGCAACGATCTTCCCACTCCATACTGCGTGCTAAAATTTCGCCTAGGCGGAGTAACAAGTCATGCGGGGAGCGCAGAGGTGAACACTTTTCCCAACACCGGGGTCGGCGCGTCAGATGGTCGAGCAATCATCACGCCAACATCTAACGCACGTGATGAAATTGCAGCAACTATCGACTCGAGTGTCGGCCATCAAGCAGTGATCACACCACGTGCGACGATCTCGGATGAAGGAGGGAGCCGTGAATGTTCATAGGTATGCGGTAGAATGGCTACTGCATCCTATAAATACCGCAGCCCCTTGTGCAGCAACCACCCGTTTCTGCTTTGTCTCTGATGATGGATTCGAGTAGGAATCCGAAACGTCAGGCTAATAAAGCTCTTGTCCCGGCGATCGTGTCTCCTTCTTCAAGACTACTTCCTGGGACTCGTCTCTTCGCCTCTATTGGCATCATTTGTTCATCAGCACACTTGAACCGACAAGAGAGCCGACTCGCGCGCGCACCGCCACCTAGCAAAAACAAAACGCAAAAACCCAAATTTTCCGAAGTTATCCAATCTCCTAGACCTACAAACAGTTGAGTTGTTTCTGCATACATCGCATGTGCATTGCCAATTTCTTAAATTGCTTTGAACTAATAGGGGCATTGTTCGTTCATTGAGCCTTAAATATACGTCATGTTTCATTGTTTACAATCTGAAGTATTCGTTATAGCCTCAGTAGGGAAAACATATTTATACTCTCCAGTTAATGTTTACGAATTCTCAGCAACTTTACGATATTAACCCAACCAACAGAGATAAATCGACTAAAGGAAAGCCCGCTGAGATGCCCTTGCATCCAGAATCTGCGCTGGTTCTCTTAGCGCTTGCATCCAAGGGGCGGAAAAGCGCGCCAAAGTCATAATTACCGCAAAAAGTGCGGGATACGCGAATGGATCTTACGTTGGATGCCCAAACATTCTGTCGAGAGTTGAAAAAACTCGAAAACGAGTTCGCAGATTTAAGAACGCCCATGCAATGGAACACTGATGGCCAAATGGAGATTACCTGTGTCGGTGCCAAATCAACAAAACGCAGAACGTAAAAAGCTCGGAAATAACATCTCGTGGTATCTAAAAGTAAGTTTAACTTCCCCGTAAGTATAGATTAGGGTAGGATAACGACAACGGGGCTTCTAGTAGGGCCAGACCTAATTTCTATGGAGTACGACCTAAGCGATGACACGAAAATATTAACTATCCTCGATAATAACGTCGGACGATTTTTTTGGTTATACCTGTAAATTGAAATGACGGCAACTCTTTTACCAATTGGTGATGCAACTAATTGCCCAGTCTATCCGCTGTAATCAAATTCTTTAAGTTACCTCGGCTGCTCCATAGAGCACTTGGTTGAATGCAAAAATAAGTACTCGTGGATAAGGAGACTAGGATAACGCTACAACTGGAGCCTGACGTCAAAATGAACTGTGGAGGTTCCCACGGGACATCTAGTCGACAACGGAAATTCAAATCCGAAAGCAGACTCTGTAAATCCTCCTCGTCCTCTTTTCGATAATACCTCAGAAAACTAATTCGAACAGTACCGGTACCGTCAACAGTGTCTAGTTGTTCAAAGCTTTACTAACTTAAATGTACTCAGATCTGACGATCATGTCTCAACTCAGTTCAGTTTATTTGAAGGAAATTCCAGTGTGCACCTTGAAACTTCAAAGTAGTTAAAAACAACAGAAATACAGCAAAAATTTGAAATGGGAACATCTATCAAATTTGAAGAAAAGGTCAACACTGTATAGATGGATGAACTATTTCGCGTGTTAGCAGTCCTGGCAAAAATATGTAAATATAACGGGTAGCGCTTTGTACAGCAGTCGATTTAATCATAAACTAATCATATACTGAAGAAGAATGCTACTATCCCAGTTGTCCGCCAGCGCAACGGTAAATGTCTGTACATGCAATGAGTTAGCGACAGCAAAGATCTTCGTAGACAAATGTTATTTAAGCAGACGCCATGGTAAAATAACAGTAATAAATTATAAAACAGGGCCTTAGAACGGCGTCAGTAGCATGAAGTTATGGTGTGTAATGATATACAGATGCAAATTCCTCATGAAAGCCTCTGCAGATGTGGACACATCGGCATCCGCAGGCAGAAAATTACGAACTTCGACCACACTG